AGGTGTCACTGAGGGATAGTAGGGTGTAGTCATGCTGTAGTTTGACAATTGTTTAAAGGAGACCAGCAGCGCACTGGCAGAATAGTTCAACTCGTACAATATTTAATAAAATTCCTGCCACATGGGACCTAATGTGTATCCAGATGGAGTTGCATGCTACTACAAAACTTGATACAATCTTTATCTTCCCTTTAGTCCCTCATCTCTTCTGTCAGTCGCACTCTCTTCCTCTGTCACATACAGGTCTGCGGTGGGGACAAGCCATACATCGCCCCAGCTGACCTGGAGCACTTTCACGAGGAGTTTCGCGAGCACTCGGTGCGGTACTTCCGCTCTGTGAAGAAAATGGGCGGTGAGGAGTTCTGCCAACGCTACCAGAACCAGTTAGAGTCCGAGCTGGATGAGGCCTACACCAACTTCTCCAAACACAACGACGGCAAAAACATCTTCTATGCAGCGCGCACACCTGCCACACTCTTTGCAGTCATGTTTGTCACCTACGTGGTGTCTGGTGTGACGGGCTTCATCGGTCTGAGCACCTTAGCAGCGCTGGCTAACATGGTCATGGGCATGGCCCTGCTGTCACTCTGCACATGGGCGTATGTCAGGTATTCTGGAGAGTTTCGGGAGCTGGGAACGCTGATAGACCAGGTGGCCGAGACACTGTGGGAACAGGTGGGTGCTGTGTGTTGAGATTGATATGCAGTACAGGTTATTTGTAAACAGTTGGCCTATTTTCTGATTTTGGTATTTTTGGACAGAAAATATCAGGAAGATCTAGAAAGTGGAAGTTTATTAGACATTACACCAGATATGAACTTAAGATGTATTGAATCTGTCTGAAAACTGTGAAAGATGCCTCATTGTAATTTCTTAGAGCCCAAGGTGATTCTTCAGAATTGTCACCAGTAGTCCAAAACACTAATTTTCTATTGGCTGCTACATATAACTAAGAAGATCAACAAATAATTAGTTTAGAAACTGGAACCAGCAAATATTCTGCTTTTGTATTCGAGAGACAAGTTAGAAAACATAATGACGGTGTGTTTAAGTGAGCAGCATTTCCTGGCCGCCTTTCTTTTTCTAGGAACATAATATATACAGTAGTAGTGTGGGTGGGTGTCAGTGCCACTGGTTTCTCTTGTACTTTTCTGTGTTTGATTTTATGGGACTTTCCACTTGTTGCCTTTTATTTCTAGGTGTTTAAAAAAAAAAAGTCTGAGACAAAATCAGTTTTATTTCCTTTTGTCCACTGGATTTTGATTCTTTTGGTTTGTTTCCACATCCCATCATCTGTTTCCAAATCTAAAGAACCATTTTTAAAGATGTACCTTTTAGTGAAGCTCATATTTTTCTCTCTCTCACTCCTCATTTGGTTGCCGCAAATGTTTTGATCTGGTATTTCATAATCCAGCCCTCCCCTCTCCTGACTTCTTCTTCTTCCTCTGCTTGCATTTCTTCCTCTCTGCCCTGCTTTACAGAAGATGGTCAGAAAGGTGAGCGTTGTCAGATCCTGACTTTCTGATCTTCTGCCCACTTCATTTCCTTTCTCCTTTTCTCCATCTCCTACCAGTGTCTTTGTATTGTTTTCATTTGTATGGTTCTCCATCAGGCCCCTTTTCTCACCGTCTACCTTAGGCCATCTAAATTTTAAAATACAATATCTGTGTTACAGAAATCAGGATACAATCCAGGATAACAACTATGCTGTCTATTAGTGACATTTAAAATGAACAATCTTGGAGAACGTTACAGATGGCTTCTAGCTTTACCTCCACACAGTCCCCGACCTTCATTAGGTTCATTTGGGAAAAGCTGCTTTAGTCTGGATAGAAGGCTGAAACAGATGATGTGGTTATTAATGTCATTGGCCTAATGTGGACATAATCTCTCCTCCTTATCCGAGTCCTCTCCCTGAACGTCTGGATCCATCATCTTTTTCCTCCTGCTCCACTGTGTCTGTCAGGCTTGTTCCTTGTTTAACTCTCCTGTTCCTCCCTGATGTCCTCGCAGGTGTTTTCCAAACTCTTGGAGCCCGTCAGGAGCCGCCTGGCGTGGCCCGTCTCTCTCCTCCCTTCCTTCCCATCAGGAGTGGTACTGGGACTCAAAGCTCTGTCTCTTCTCAACAACAACTTCAAGAAGACAAACTAGCTGCTGGTGGACTGGCAGATTTACAGACTTAAATTTATTTCATACCCAAACGTATGCAGTTTGCTGGCTTCTTTGTTAATTTTCAGTCCAGTGGTGCTGGACCCCTATAGTTTAACCCCACGGTGTGGCCACTGGCAAGCGAGGCCCATCTCAGGTTCATTCTTATCAGTGGTTTTTCTTTTCATTTGAAAAGTTGACATTTCAAGAACTTCAGATGTTTGTTGGAGACCACATTCTGTTTGTTCCTTTTATTTTAAATGTTTTTCTTCCCAAACCTTTTAGTCAGCGTTTTTATTTAGATGAGTTTACTTGATTTCTTCAGCCACAAAATTTTCTTATCTTCTTTCTTCTCTTTCCTTTGCTGCAGGTTTTGAAGCCACTAAGTGAACATTATATGGAAGACAGCGTCAGACAAACGGTGGTTAACTCTATCAAAGCCAGCTTGGTAGAACAGGGCTCACAGCACACCAAGTTAAAGACTCACTGATGCTCTTCCTCCTCATCATGTTAATTGCCTTGCTCAAATGCGTTCAATCCTAGAACAATGGAACTACATCAACAGCAAAGCTGACCACCCCCCTTCCTGCTGCCATGTCACTGCCCTCTTTTTAATTTACTGTTGTGGACCTGCTAGGCTTGCTGCCTGCCCTCCTCTTCATCACCCCAGGGCAGAAACAACACGTTTGAGAGGACTGAACAGAGAGGCCGGCAGCGTTACCTCTCGCCTAAACAGGACCTGAAGGACAGTCGTCTTCCCTTGTGTGCCATGACGGTTATGTAATATACTGTAGGCTGACACATGTTTGCTGGTAGCAGACTGCACTCACTTCAGGACAGATCTGTGATTCAGGGAAATCTGACACTGCTGCAGCCAGCTGTTACCAGACACGGATGCAAACTGAAGCACTTTTCTCTGCATTTTTGTTTTGTTTTTGAGGCTGACAGCTCAGAGCTCAGTTTACTTTCTCCTCAGTCCGTTTAACATCTATGAGCATAGGTGGCCTATCAATCCATAAAACTAAGGAGATGATTGTTTTATTTCAGTAAAATCAGGAAACATCTCACGACTTCACTCAAGTGAAAGTAAATTGACTACTCTCATCCTGGTCAGCATTTGTATAATCAACATCTGGGCTCAGGTTCCTCTTGGACAAAACCTCTGTATCTCTTTAATATTTTGTAGGAAGCTTTGAACCTCTGATTTTTTTTTTTTTAATTTTTATTTTAGAATAGACAAGTTTTTTTGTGGACCTTAGTGTCTTGTAGCAGACCTGCCAGTGTTTGGCCTTCTGCATGATGTTAGGAGCTTTTAGTCCTGCTCTAATCATTTTCAGCCATGTTCTCTTCCACCACTCTCTCTGTGTCCCCACATGTTTATGACCTGCAGGCTGTAGTTTGGAAGTTTAATTAATTTCTTGCTGAGACTTGGGGAAGATCGATGCAATTCATGTTTGTAGGATGAATATGAAGTTGCAGCCAGCAGCGGCTTAGCTTTGCATAAAGATCAGAGGGGGTAGGGTGCTAGCCTGGATACGAACCTCTAACAGCACCTGTGAGATTCACTAAGCAATATGTTTCATCTTGTTGGTTGTTTTTTTTATATATATATATATTAAACTTATTTTGTAGATTTAACAAAAAAGTGACTGAACATTACAGGTGCTGTTGGCATAAAGACTGGAAAAGGGTAAATGCCTAAGTTAATCAGGTGTAGCTTTAACAGACATGAGTGGTATCGATCTTCTCATCTAATGCTCAGCAAGAAATTGAACTGCATCTCCCAAAATGGTTAATTGTTCCTTTAACTGACAAGAAATGATTCTTTCTGCGTATTTTTCTTACTCTACAGCTGAATAAATGTACAACTTGCTTCTCAGTCAGGTGGTGAGTAACTACATGTTTATTTTTCCATCACAATGGGAACCTGACTTAAAATGCTGTTAGATGAAATTAAGAAACTTGTCCCTACTTATATTATATTCAACACACTGATAGCTGCATCACATTTGTCTCAGCTCTTCTGCATGGACAGAAGTAACTGTAACTTGTCAGTGGGAGTGTCCTCATTAAATGCTACATTTTCTTAAGTTTGTTGGGTTTTTTTATGAACTTAAAGTGAATGGTGAGGTACATTAGTTACAGTAATACTTTGTTTTCATTGTGATGTGTTGGGCCCAGTTAGCTTCACAAGTCAAAAAAGTAATTAAAAATTAACTAGGAACACCTGTATACTGGAAATGGCAGGCTTCAATTTTAGTTTTAATAATGAGCTTCTCTATGGATTTTAGTCAGAAATGTTGCCCGC